TCTGTTGTAGCGCTGGTTCAGTTACATATTGCTCGTATAAACTTTATTATAACATAACTTGATTTGTATTTGTGCATTATTACTTGATAAAATATACTTAGCCACTACCTATAGGGTTATGGTAAAATATAGTTTATAATATCTAAATAAAATAAATAAATACGGCGTAATTTAATGAAATAATTTAATTTATTTTATTACTAACTCGAAATAGATAAGAATATGCTCGATTTAATTTAGTATTGATTAATTATTGATTTTTGAATTCTTCAATATTTTATGATATGTGGAGTTCAATTATATCATTTTCAACATACGTTTAATGAACTGAGGTCAAATTAGCTCTCTTAACAAACACTCTTCAAAATCTAAATTAAAATAATATAAGTAAATTTAAAATACAGATAAATTAATATTTTATAAACCAATAGATGTGTTTATTAATAAATATTCAATAGACTTTATTGAATATAGACAAGACGTAGACCATATAGTGTCTATGAAGTACAACTTACAACTGAAGCAATTCCATTTTGAGACCAAAATTTGTCATCATATTTTATTACTTCTAATTGATTACATTTTGGGTATATATAAAGAAATAACAAATGTTAGACCAGTCACGTAGTGGCCTTGGATCTGGTAAAAATAATGACTTCTTCTTTCAAAAGTTGGTAAATTATTTTTAATTTTCATATAAGGAAATGATAGTAATATATAAATGCCTTATATTACGCAATAATTAATATTTGTTTTATAGTTATTTCAAGAATACATCATTATTTATATATTTCTAATCCGTTAATTATTAAAGTTTAATAATACATATACATTACCTTTTATCCAAAATAGCTTTTTCTAGACTACAATAATCTTTAACAGAATAAGGGCATTTATTTCACATAGTTTATCGGTCTTCTATTAAACCATCTGCAATTGAAAATATTTATTTAGTTATATATCCAATAGAGTATGTGAAATCGATGCTGATCCAAGGTATATATTAATAAAATATGTATTAAAGGCTCAAATTAATATTTATTATTTCCATAACATTAATTAAACTCTATAAAAACTAATTATAAACAAATCTCACCTGGAGTTGCTGCCAAAAATGGAATATTTTGTCGTGAATAAAACCCACATTTATTAATTTTTTTTTTAATTTCCATTTGTAGTTGCATAAGTGCTTGTTGTTCAGTTTGAATACCATATTCTGTAGCACTGGTGTTTATACAACCATAAAGTATATTATGTACAGTTACTTTACATGAGGTGTAAGGTCTCATTTTGCACACCCTTCCAAAATTTGACGCCGATAATCGTTTTCTTCGTTCCTCAAACCACCTTTGATTTTTTGCTTGGTTCCTAGTTTCTAACTCTAACTGTACTTTCGATGCCTCCGAAAGAGTTATCGACTGTATAAATTCAAGCTTTTTAATTTTAAATTCTTCGTCAGATAAAAAGTCATTTAATGGCTCGGCCAATCCATAATTTTCATCTGGTCCGTTTGAATTTTTTTTTTTTTTTTGTTTATCACCTTTTGAAACAAAGAGAGCTCTTCGATATTTCAGACTTTTTGTTTTGTCTCTAGTATATTTTAAAAATTTTTTCCCAATAATTCCTAAAGCATAAAAAAAATAGTTAAGTTAAATAATAAATAATTTATAATATAGTTATAGTTAAATAAAATAGACAAAATATATTATAGAGTATTTCAAAATATTATGAAATTACTTTAACTACCTATATTGTGAACAAAATTATATAGGTACCTGGACTTTTTTTCGTAATTTTTTTATGGATTTCGCGAATAAATTGACCACCCGAATTGAATGATACAATAGCTGCATGGACCCTAGTATTGTATGATTGCTTTTGGGTGAAATTTATTCGTTTACCAGCAATATATTTGTTGATGACGCTATTAAATTGCTCACAGTAGTTATTGTCAACATCAAATAATAAACTACGTGCATTATCGATTACACGACGAAGAATAGCTGACATTTCATTCATGAGACCGCATTTCACTATTTCTGGAACTAAATTTTTTTCGCACTCTTTTGGCCCACGACAAAAATATTTTTCACACAATGTATGCTGTCCAAAAATATGATACGGCCCATTTATAACATCTTTTCGTAAACCTAAAAATAAGTAAAGAATAAATATAAAATATATGTTTCATTAACAAACAATGTACCAATATAAACTAATAAATACCTTCAGTTTGTTCATAAAGAGACTGATTCAACTTTTTACGATATTGTATGGATTTTGTAATTGCCGTACGGAATCTAATAATATTTCTTATAATGAATTTTCGAATGTAACATGGATAAGAGGTTTTTTTGGTAAGTGCCATTAATTTTTGCCCATAATTCCTCAATATATGATTCCTGCATTCTATTTTTTCTACCAACATACGTGATCCGTACGGCAATATTTCATTCAGACGTTTAGTGACACTACTGTCACCATCACCTTAAATTATGCAACAATAATACATATTAATTATAAAATTAAATAAATATTTTTATAATTTTCATACTTACCAATCAATTTATTATACTTCAATCCATGCAATTTTACGCTACTTAAAAATCCTTCAGCTATTGCGTCTGCTTCAATACTGGTTGCGCCTTTAGACCAGTTCATAAAACATTTATGAGCTTTTGAACTTTGGCCCATATTTTTGGCTCTTTCACAGACAACACAATATCGATTACGAATTCCCACAAATAAAATTTTCTTTGTCCGAAAACCAATAATTGTAGCCTACAATAATATAATAATTATAATATTTTAAAAATAAAAAACAGTAAAAATTTAAATATGGAAGGAGGATAAGGGAATAAAAAATATCAATTTATATTTAAAATTGTTTTTATAAATTAATTATGACAATTTATTATTAGGGTCTAGGGAACGGATTTTTTCGTAATATACAAATCAAAAAAATATGTAGTACAATTATTAAAATTAAATATATTTAAATTATAATAAAGTACATTCTCAAGTTAAGACGCATAATGTACAGGTATGCACAACTTGTACTCCCTCCAAATTACGCCCAAGATACTTCCCCAGTTCCCCCTTTACCTGGTGCCAATGTTTACAACCATAACTTTACTTACCGCTCCTGAAAATGCGTCGTACTTGGTCTTATAGCTACGTTTGCTCCATTGACCATCAGCTATAACTGGGCACATGGGTATACCATCTTCATCTATGTCGCCTGCTTCTAATGCTAATCGCCTTTCCTCTATTCCGGCAAGTTTCATTGCATTCCAAGCAGTCTCTTTCACTTCATCGCTCAAAGTTTCAGCTATTTTCATGTATGTTGTGTGTGTCATACATGGAAGATCTATAATTGCTGAAAATTCGGCCACTTGAGTGTGTCCTATTCCTATCGCATATGTACCACTAACAACTGCCTTATTAATTGGAATACACCCCAGGTCATTTTTTTCCGATTCAATTTTAGTCAACATATTACACATTTTACACTTAAATATCCACGAAGAAAAATACCCTGAACGAACCTCTTTTAAAAATTCACAATCAATAAAAGTGCAACCCAATCCTATGCCATGATTACCATTTTTAATTTGGTCAAAAATATGCATTACATCAACTATTCTTCGACCTCCAACACTAAAAATAAATAATAACACCAGTTACAACCTACTTTAGACTAAAGAGTTAAATTTTAAAGTCTTTAATTTATTACTAACTTGTTTTCCACAATTTCATGAGATATTCTTTCGCTTTCAATAACATCAATATTTCTTTCAAAAACAACATTTAAATTGGGCATAATAGGGTTTGAGCTAAAATAATAATTCGATTTTAAAATTTTAACCAATGATAAAGACTTTTAAAATAATAAGACTTACTTTACTGAGGTTGAACATTCTGGAGTGTTTGTGTTACTCAACACAATTCCTGAATTATTACCAACATCATTTGGTGGAACATTTATTTCAACACTCAAATCGGGTAAAATAGTGTTTGAGCTATAATTATAATTCAATTTTTAAATTTTTAAAATAATAGATTTAGGTACCTAGAAGTAATACTTCAAAACTAAAATATAAAAAAACGTGACAAGTATACCTATACTTATACCCATATAATAATATTATCTTGTACGAAAACCGTGTCTGAGTGGAGACGGTTTGTCACCCTAGGAAATTGTTGATATGATATTTATATTAGTATAACACGGTTAGGCTAGGTTTAAATTTAGTTGTAACCACATCAGCGGAAATCTGTGAAAAAAATCGGTTGGAATGAAAAAATATCAGTGCCTATCAAATAACATTTTTAAATTACAACGAAATAGCTAAAATCGTTATTCTTGGTTTTAATAATAATAATTCGTACAAATCTGAACTTAAATAACTGTAAAAAAATCTGTGCATATATATTTTTTAGATTTTTTTTTTACAGTATGAACCATGGAATCTAGTTTAAGACCTTTTTTTTAAGTTATTTAAATTTGTATTCTCTTTACAAAGTATATATTTTTCAAAATATTTCGTTTATTTATAAGCTATTTATATAGGTATTTTGAAGTATTCGATTTTTTTTTTTATAAATGTTTTTACTTTTTGAATAGTCAATGTACTTTAAGTTAACTAGGTACGGTACACGAATTCACATAAGTTGTTCTAACTTTAATTAAAATATATATAAAATACATATTCGCACATTTTTTTATAGACATTTGAAGTACGTATTTTAACTGAATTATTGACAATGAGATTTTCATAATATTTTTATATTATTTTAACCGACAGTATGCAATCAGCAACCTGTCCTAATTTAAAAATAGAAGATATAAAAACGTAAATATACCCAATATAAAATATCTTAGGCTGACAGATCGCCGCCGTCAGTGCACATTTTCCACATTTTCCTGGGGGGTACTAAAAACAAAATTATTTATTTCCAAGGTATTATTTTTATGAAAACAAGAGTGTCTACTGGTAATTATAATAAGTAAATATAGTTATATATATTGGAATCTGTAGTGGCGGAGGTGTTAATCCATCCCAACAGAATTGTTTTTTGTAAAAGATAATAGAATTATTTTGTTATAATTATTGAATGGGTAGAGCCCAAAATATTATTATTTTATTTTAATTTACTATAAACGTTTAAACAGACAAATAAAGTATTTAAATTTCTAATATAATTTATATAAATAGGTACTTACTTTATTTTTTTGTATCGTCGTAGTACCAGAGAATTTGCGATTTTTTTTTTAGATGACCGTTTCCGTTTTAGATTATTTTCTTTATTTGCCATTGTCAAAAAAATGCAAAATAATTATTTAAAACACAAAATTCACAATAAGAATTTGAATACGATGACACAGAAATCCCGAAGAAATGATCACATACCCAGGAGGAATGGTTGTGACGGTTGTGTAATGTGTTTCATAAGTAAATTAAAAATAAAATGAATGTTCATTTTTGTACAAATTATTGAAAATACAACTTTACTATACTATATTAGTTTCATATTATGACTTTCGCTATCATAATTCGTAATTAGTCTAGGGCAAGGGACTTCCAGGAGTTCAATAATCATTCAAAACATAGTTGAGTATTATAGAAATTTGTTTCATAGCAATACGAGTTTATAATCATAATGTATTGCTGCATATTTTACATATTTCATCATATTTAATTTATAAGTGCATATTTGACCATTTTTGATATAAAGTCATAAAGATATATTTTTTACCAGCAATATACCATTATAATTTATAACTAAATTCTGTAGGAAAACACAGATTTTTTTGTAGGTAGTATATACTTCAATTATTACAAATAATGCATACTTTGAACTTTTGAAGTAGGTACCTAGTACCTATCTTCTGAAAATATTATTATGTCCGTAATACATAATAATAATAATAATAATAATATAATTAAAATAATAATACAAATAAGACTTGGTAGATCGTATGTGGAATGCTGTCAATCATCAATTCCAATTATTATAATAAAAATAAAAATAATTCTTATTACATTATACCGAGGTTATTAGCTTATAATGATATTGTCTATATTAGTTCAGTCTATTCCTGGAAACGTACGATAACCATCGACAGACCGTCACCGCGCGATCGTCGTATCGGAAATTCAGTTTTTGGAGTAGTGGGGGGAAATTGCAGCCGACGTCGCAGCGGCAGGCAGGTGGCAGCACACTACGGCAATGAAAATTAATTCGAACAGCATAAACATGTTTACGGAAAACAAACAAAACAGCATTAAAAAGTGATTTTAGAGAAAAAATACCTATTATAAAATTTATAGAGAATAATATTTCAGAGACAACCTCATATGGGTTTTGTTCTATTTTAAATATACAGCTCGTTATAAACGGTACAAAAACCTATTTTTTTACATTTTTTAATCAACTCTAACTTTTTTAATAATTCATATTTCAAAAAACGCATATGAGGTTGTCTCCTAAATATTGTTCTCTATAAATTTCATAATAGGTATTTTTGCTCTAAAACCATTTGTTAATAGCGTTTTGTTTGTTTTTCGTAGACCTGTTTTTACCACTAAATATTACGGGTATAACGTCCTCTTAATAACGCTACATTTTTCAACAACGTGTTTTAAACATGAAATATATGTATTTGTAGTTTTTCCAGTTAATAAACAAAAAACAAGTGGTATGTAATGACCATTTATATGACCATGTATTGTAAACATTTGTTTAAAAAACTTAGTACAGTATGAGAACGTTCCGTCAATATATATATATTTTGATGTGCAAAGCGTTTTTAAATTTGTATCACAGCTAAAAATAATAATTTTTCTAGCTTATCATTAATTAATAAAAAATTTGTACTTCTATTTGTTACTATTTCCATACTTTCTAATACCTCGTGTACTTCGTCGATCGATTTTGGTAGTGCAGGCATTGATTTTCTTCTAGCGTTGTACATATTCCTCTTAACATACCGAATATCAGTTACTTGCAGATCTTGCACGTCAGGTACATTGTTTACTGCACTACAAAAGATTTTATTTGGCCTAGTACAGATATCCTCAGTTGCTTTACGTTTGGCCTCGGTGGTAACACATTGTCGTTGAAGTACTTGGTCGCTGATAGGTTCATGCAAATGATTATCATTTTTCTCCGTAATATCATTATTTATTCCAAATGTTTTTAAAAAAGCTGTACATTTGCGGTTTATACATCGCCATTTAATTTCCCCTGAAGCTAACGGACGAGTTACTTTAGAATATTTAAAATGTTCTAAGACTAAAAGTGGTTGTCCACGTTGGGATTCAACTATGCGTGCCATCGTTACGATTGTAAAAACACTACTGATACGAGTGAAACGTCGTTTCAAAAGTCCAACACAAAAATGAAATTATTTGTATCAATGTTTAAATATATTTTAACATTGGTTAGATACGTTTAGATACGTTATTTATTAGTTGCTGGTTAAATTATGTCGTGCTTATTGCAATATTTTATCGCTAAATAGCCTAAATATTATCGGGCCGAGATTACAACGGATATTTTTATCATCTGAAATTTCCGAGCCGAGTTTACATTCTACCTAATTTATCACCTAAAATTTTTGGAGCCGAGTTTACAACAAAAAAGGTAATCGTGGGCCCAGTTTACATTTGCCCGTTTCACATGGACGCGTATCGTACGCTTGCGCTTTTATTTTACAATGGTTAAGTTCATACGCACCGTATCGGTGATTAAAACACGCCATCATCGGAGTAATAATATGTTCAGTTAAACTGTGTAAACCAGGCGCGGTTCTAGGACTAAATTTTAGTATGGGCAACAGTAGATTTAAAATTAGGTTTTAACTGCAAATAATATTTCTTATTTCCTCCCCCTTCCCTACAAAATTTTTTTAATAAAATTATAGTATTATTATTATAGTGTATAGCTTAAAATATTCATATTAATTATAATAGATAGGTAATAAAGGTTTTAAATATAAAAAAAATAGAGTAATCCATAGTTTTGAAATAATTATGTATAGTTATGTTTATTTAAATTTAACTGTCAAAAAAGTTCAGACTGTTCAAACTTATTTTAAGAAAAATAGTAAGCTAAATTTGAAATTGTATTCTTCTGTTTTTCATGCTTGCAAACACTTCAAGGACAGCAGTTGGATCTTTTAATAATTTATCTGAGTTTTCAAAATCAATTGATAAAAGTGTAAGGCTACTTAATCGTGAACTCTTCATAGTCGATCTTAAATATGTCTTAACACGGCGCATGGTGGAAAAACTGCGTTCTGCACTAGCTGAAGACACAGGAATGGCCATAACCAATTCAATTATTTTTTTTACATGGTCAAAAGTCTCACCGTAGTTGCTTATTTGTTGATGTAGGTCAGATAATGTTAAATTATCCAAAAATAAAGATTTTCCAATCAGACACTGGTTCTTCAATACTTCTATAAAGTCATTAGTTGTATATGGTTGATACATATTACCTAATTTAACTAACAAATCTGAATTTAGAAATTCACTTGATTTGGGGTCACTTGCATGGATATAATTCAATATTTCATTGTTTTGGGTAAATCTATAAATCATTTCATTATTCATATTATCTAAAATCTGGAAAAAGACTCTTTTAAATTCATTTTCTGTATCTTTAGAGGACATGTTTTGTTTTTCTTTTCTACTAGTACTAGCACCAAGTGTTGAATAAGTTAAATAGTTATCCAGTGTTGATGAAATTCTTAGTTCTCTTGTTGGACGTAGTGTATCGTTAGGTTCAATATTCGAAGTCTGAAATACACTTACTGCTTCATTGTAAATATTGATGAATATTTTTTCTGACCTTAAATTGATCAATTGTTCCATAGTGGATTTGATCAATTTTGCACAACGGCTATAGTCAAGTGTTGTTGTCTGTAAGTTTAATGATAGAATATTTACTAAAGACAAAATATAATCCAAACAAAAAAGTAACACAATAGTTTTTAAAGAATTCATTTGAATTAGTAAACCCTTAGCTTCAGCAGCTTCCTTAGATTTTGAACTTACAGTGCACTCTTTTAATGCTGTTAATACTAATGTAAAGTTGTTTTTAAAGTAACGAATACTTTTAAATTTTGATACCCAACGTGTGTCACAGTGCATGGGGACTTTCGACCCAGTTTTATCAAAAAATACTTGATACCTTAGTGTTGATGATGACTGAAATGCATAAACTGCTTCCAAGAGACCTATAGTATCATGTACTTCTTCTACCTTTCTTGAAACGTCAACTAAAACTAAATTCAATTTATGTGCATGGCAATGTATATATGGACACAAATTTCCTGACATATCTTTAATTTTTTTTTGAACTCCGTTGAACTGACCAGACATAACTGATGCTCCATCATAAGACTGACTTACACAGTTACTCAAATCTAGTCCAAAATTATTCAAAAATAATTTAATATTACAGCTTAGGGCATTAGCATTTAATTCTTTGAGTTCAACAAATCCTAAAAACCTTTCCTTTATCACTGAATTATGTACATACCGAATACAAATACTCATTTGCTCTAACTTTGCATCGTCTCTAGCTTCGTCAACAATTAAGCTGAATATTTTACTACCTTCTTGTACTTCTTTTAAAATAGACTGAGCAATCACTGTTGAAGATGCACTTATCATATCATTCTGAATTATTTTACTAGTGTATTTTGCATTCTTTGGTAATGCTTCATAAGCTGAACAAAATGTCTGACTTTCAATACATAATAGCTTTACAAGCTCTACAAAATTTCCTTTGTTTTCTGTTGCAATATCATTATTCACAATTTCAGAGATTTCAGTTGTTTCAGAATGTCCTCGCAAACCAATATCTTGCCTAGCACAATATATGGCACACCTTATTAAACTTTTTAACATTGTCCTATTTTTTGCAACTTCAACTCTTATTTGTGAGTCAATCATAGTTGTAACACTGCCTTGTATTTTAGAATTACACCACCCTTTATATTTAGCCAATGCTAATTTGTGTGTGTCACATTTATCATGTACTTTAGCCATACTGCCTATATGTTTCCAGTCTGAATAACCATGAATTGTTAGATTACCAGCATTAGGATTACAATGTTGACTTGGTGGTAAAGAATGTCTACAATAATAACAAAAAATTTGATCAAATTGTATTGAGTACTCAATCCATGGATACTGTTTATACCAAGTACTATTAAAGGACCGTTTACTTTTACTTATGGATTTGTAAGGATAAACAATATTTGGTTGTACAGGAGGTTGATCATAGTTTAAACTTAAGTCTAATATTTTTAAAGGTTTTACCAATTGTCTGGTCGGTTCTGGGTTAAAAGCAATACTACTATTTACACTGGTGTTTTCACTAGCTGTAGAGTCATTTGTATGGATTGATGGAGATTTTGGTGTGTCTCCTTCAATTGTTTTTTCGGCCTTATGTTTGGAAAAATTATTTAAAAATCTCTTCATTATATTAAATTAATAGAAACAACGAAAATGCACAATGAGAAAAAAACAATACAATAGTCATATTATATCTACACAATATGTAATAATTTGTTATCACGTTATGCTTTTATGAAGATAGCTACCGTTCCGAACGTCTGGTGTCGTTCTCTCCCGCCAATTATGAACTAAGATAGTACTATCAACGCTAAAACAGCTGCAAGCTCTAGCAGCGACATTATCACATAGATAATATATTAGTAAGTTCGTCATCAATGTAATGATTATAATATAATTGTAAACTATCATTATAATTTATCAAATAATGAAATATCTTATTTTTGTATAAAAATAACATTTTTAAAATAATGGGCACCAGAAATTTTGGTATGGGCAGCTGCCCACCCTGCCCATACGCTAGAACCGCCACTGGTGTAAACTAATTTGTAATTTCTAGATTATGTACAGAACAAAATTATTTATAATTGATAACTGACCAAAAACCCACAGTTATATTATACATACGTATAATACAAATATACAATATATATACAAATATATAATAGATATCTATTACAAAACGGTCTTATCGGCCAGTGCGATAATACTAATTGGCAATATTGCGGTTATTCGGCTATACATTATTATCAAAAATTTAAAACACTATGTTCTACGTATGCACAATGGTGACATCGAGGCTCTGTTTCTATAGCTTATACCATACTAAGTTAGTATTAGTATTTTCAATTTTGGTTAGTGCACTCTTAATATTCGTGTAGTACTGTAGTTAAAATGGATATCCAAATCGAAAATGTTTTTCAAACAAAACGAGGTAATACGTGTATAACTGTTGATAATTTTAAACTCAGTAAATGTAATATTTTAATGAATAGTAATATTCGTTTTCGGTGTACAAATCGTTCGTGCAACGTGACTATTATCGTTAATGATAAGCTAAATGAAATAATTGAAACCAAAAATTTTCCTTACAATCATCCTCCTCTAAAAGATAATTCGATCAAATTGGACATCATTAGAACAGCTGTAAAAAGAAAGGGGACAGAAGACCTGCATACCAAACCAAACAAAATTATTTTAAAAGAAATACGTCAAAGTGGATTTGATACAGATATTGAATATTCTAATTTAAGGTTAGTGCGTAAATCATTATATTGTGCCCGTAAAAAATTATTTCCGACGTTACCACAAACATTAGAAGATACAATTGATATACTTTCGGCAGAAGGAGACAATATAACAAAATTTAACGATGAAAAATTTTGTCATATTTCTTCGGATAAAAATTTAATTTTATTCACCTGCAAAGCAAATCTAAATCTTTTGTGTGATAGCACACATGTTTTTGAAGATGGTACTTTTCGTTATGCACCTAAATTTTTTTTCCAGCTGTATACAATTCATGTGTATGTAAATAAATTTTACATTCCTGTAATTTATTGTTTACTCCCATTCAAAAACTTGGAAATGTACCAATATATGTGGAATGAAATAAAATTATTATGTAAACATTTAACTGGCAAAAAACTAGATATGAAAAATTTCCATGCAGATTTCGAAAAACCTGCACATTGTGCTGTTTTAAATACATTTCCTAATTATTGTAAAATTGTGTGCTGCTTTTTTCATTTAAGCCAAAGTTTTTATCGCAAAATTCAAAAACATTATTATTTACATAGTAAATACAAAGAAGAAAACTCAGAAGTTGGAAATTGGTTGAGATATTTTTATGGGTTAGCTTTTTTACCACCATCTGAAGTTGGAGATGGGTATGCTCAATTGATGTCTATTGCTCCCAATATCGAACACGTTACTCACTTTGCTGACTATGTTTTAAATTATTACGTATCAGAAGATGCAGATTTTAATCCTTCTATTTGGGCAGCAGAACCTTCCGATTCACCACGTACAACAAATGGTCCTGAATCGTTTCACTCTCATTATAATTCACAATTTTATACACCCCATCCAAACATTTTCCAAGTAATTGACGTTCTTAAAGATTTCCAAGTTCAAACTATGCTGAAAATATCATCAATTTCAAATAATAAAATGAATGTTCAAAGAAATGATACACTTAAAAAACACAACATACTACATGCACGATGGGCACAATATAAAAATGGTGAGATATCTCAATTGACGTATTTGAAGATTATTGGACAAATGTTTCAAGCAGCTCGAATTTAAAATTTAAATAGTTCATAAAAAATATATTTTCGTAATTTAGTCCACTCGTATTTAAAAAAATAATAATTTGACAAATTTTATATTGTACCTAATGTACCTATTTATTTTTTAATATTTTTATCTTTAAAACGAAGTAATCATACATATTTGATATTATTATAAAAAAAAAAAACAATAATAAAAATAAAAATAAGAAACAGCATTTTTAACCATGCCTAAGACAGTCCTAAGCCTGTTAAAAATAAAATGGGAAGGAAAATGCTGGTCCAAACGAGTTGTATAAAAGTAATATTTTTTAGTCCAAACGGGTCTTTAAAATTGGTCCAAACGAGCTGTGTTTTAGAAAAATTGGTTCAAACGGGTCCTGCCCTTTTTTTTGGGTATAAGCTGTTGCCTAATGTTTCGGCGAATGTAATTGTTGGATTAAAGGTGGTGGTGGTAGGCGATGGTTGGAGCTGTTGTTTCTGTTGGTTGGATGATATCATATTATTTTTGATTGTATTGGTTGTAGCTTTTGAATTTTGAGACGGATTGCCATTTGATTGTGGAATTTTTGAGATATTAACCTGTAGTTTGTTAGGAGTTGTTCTAGTAGGTGGGGATGTGTGCTTCGGTGAAGCGGAGGTTCCTTTGATAGGAGGGGGCGTACGATGAGTGAGACTCATTTTGTACGGAGGTATATGAAATTATAAATACGTTATTTAATTCCTTACCTTGACCCGTACATGTTGGTTTTATTTGTGGAAGAATCTGATAAACCGTCGTGATGTAGATAACGCACTAAACTTTACTATACACGACTGTCGTTATCGGAGTGTGCCACGGGACTGAATAATTGTTTTAAATACTTTTTATCGACGAAATAAAATTTAATTACACACATTATTATTGCAATATGGTCATATATGTTTGAAAACTGTACAAACAAATTTAAATGCTATTAATAAATTTTAAATAATTATATGTAATGCATTTTAAATATTTTTTTTAAGGCATACCGTACGTTTGGTTTCCATGCTCATTAAGCAGGCCAGAATATTTCGTATCAACGTTTTATAACTTTGGCAATACACTTGCTTAAGGTCCCCGAACAACGTCGTGAGTGCTGGTCTCGATCGGGGTAGTTGTGGTTTTTCGTAAAAAAATCGAGGGGGTCCCCCCCCCCCCCCCCCGTTGAAAACTTTTGACTTACCTGACATCATGCGGCAATTTATTAAAAATTAACTGACGTTCCTATAGCTAAAAAAAATATTATATGGCTATTTTCAATTGATATCGATAATAACTGTTGCTATCTATAATAAGCTGTTGATTATAGGTACAAGATTTGAATATATTTCATTTTTATATAAAATACACGAACACATTTAATATATCAAATAAATAATAAAATATATGCATTTCAAAGCACTTTTTGCAATCGTTTTGCGTTCGTTTGTAGCAGAAGTGTTAGGGAGAGAAGAAGAATCCATAACAGCTGAAGATTTTATATGGTACACCTCCAGATTGCGGAGTGCTCTGGAACGTGGTGGCGTTGCGGATACAGTTAAATGTATATTCCATATACTATTTCAAAATCCACCAAAGACCAAGGAGTTAGCGGATTTTGTTTCATGTTGGATAATAAGGGCATCGCCCCTTCTAGCAATGTTATATGGAGACTGCAAATGTATTAATAAAACGTTTAAGTTCAGCGAAGCTGACTTTCATCCTTACAATATCCTATATGTAAATTGGAAGAAACGCAGCCAAGATGAACCGTTTCAACCGTCATTGTTTACTGTACAGGAAATAAAATCAGTACTTATGCAGTACAATAATCCGCTAAGTCCAGTAACTACCATCACTTATACAACTAAACGTAGACATGCAGAACCCGAATATGGTATGTTACCATCACCCACTCGAAATCGAAGAAAACATAAATCTCAAAACGAGGATATGGCGGCTGGTCCAAGTACGCAAAACGAGGATATGGGGGCTGGCCCCAGTACGCAAAACGAGGATATGGGGGCTGGTCCCAGTACGCAAAACGAGGTTATGGCGGCTTGTACCAATACGCAATATCTACAAGGATTACTAAATGAAGCACCGGTGGACCAAAACACTTGTTGTGTCGCATCTGAAGAACAATTTAATGAAGACCAACAACAGGCGAACGAAAATAGTTGTGATGTCGGAGGTTCACAAAATGACCAGTATAGATTTGTTTTCGGAGAGCCAGTAAATGTTTTAACTGGTGGTGAACCATATCTCGCTGGAATCATATCCAAAATCTGTGGAAACGATATATACATCATGTTTCCAGAGGGAAGGTTCAAGAATTACGAATACATATATCCGCCAAATTCTATTTTAAAATTCCGTACACAATTTCCTAATGGTAAATACTGTCCTCTCATTGTAAGACCGAATAAACCAGGCCATCGACTAAAAATTAAAACATACGAAACGCGACTTCAACAACATTTTAATAGATTTTTTTAGTTAGGAGGGTAACAATTGCGATGGATTTAATTAACAATACAATACAATACAATACATTTTATAATTAAATAACAGACTAATTAACAAATAACAAATTAATAATAATATAAATCCAAATTAATTTACGGCAGCCGGCGGTCTAAAAATTATCAATAGGTACCTAATTATTTTTTTACGGACGCCGGCGGCCGCATGGCAGTCAACGTGTTAAGAAAGTGTATCGCCAAAGTTACAAAACGTTATTACCATTATCTCATAGTATAGAGGTATCCGCGTATAGTTATACACTGATTTGACGTTTATATGGTTTATTGTACGGTTGCCGCATGATGCAAGGTATTCGGACTTTCTGCGGTAATCGTGATAAAAATAGTGATAACGATCGACAAAAGTGATAACAACACTAATCAGATAATCGAATTAAGAAACTTCTTTTATGTTATATTATGCTTAGGCAGACAGCGGATGAGGTACTCAATTCATATTCCTTCGATTTTTACTTAAAGACTGTTGAACATTGTGCACGTGGAATCGACCATGGATTCTGCAGAATGGCCACTTAAGTCTGTAAGTAGGTGTGTTTGTTTATACTAAAATAATCGTTATTGTAATTATTGTAATTTTAGGATCGACGTGCTGCAGTCTTATCTATCGCCGATGACGCGTGTTTAAATACCATTGTGGACCCACAATTAGGTATAAAGACACACCGAAACCGTACACCACAGTTCCACTTCAAAGATTGTGAATTGGCAATAATAAAAAAACAACATGATATTTATAACAATTTTTTTTCAAAAGATATTCCATATACGATATTACCACATAATCGCTTCGACGAAGTAAATGGTAATAATTGGTGCTGATATTTTTTTTTGTATCATTGTAATTTATAATGTGCTTAAATTAGGTGCTAAGGTAGTTGCTACAAAATATATACCGAAGAACATAGTATTGTTCGAACTGTGCGGGCAGCTGTTTCCTGTTAGCGATCACTTTCTTGTGCCCGGAGTCCATGACTTTTCTACGGTAACATCAAGCGTCAATGATAAGAATTATATATTCCTTGGGCCTATTGCCTTCATTAACCATGATTGTAAGCCAAATGTAAGGTGGCATAGTAGAAGTAAAACATTATCGTGTGTAGTAACAGTAGCATCCATATGCCCAACCGTGGAGATTACAGTGTTTTACGGACAAAATTTTTTTGGTTACAAAAATTGTGAATGTATGTGCAGAACCTGTGAAATCAATGCAAGTGGATTCTTCTCAAAAAAAAAACAGGTGAATATATATTAACCACATGATGGCCAAGTTTATTTCAATATTTAACTTGTAGAATCGTTCTTAACTAAGCTTTTTGTTAACATCATTCATGTCATTGTAGAGGAAATATTTATTTATATAATATATTTTTATTACAGTAGTAAATACGGATCCCCCACTCGAACACGCACTGCAGGAGCAGCAAGTGAAACATCCAACCACTAGGATGGAATTGGCTGATTCTGACATTTCTTATGATGATGATGATGATAGAAGTATCAATGCTGATGAAGATAGTAGTGATTCCAGCTATGCAACTACCAATGATGGTAATAACAATGCTAACTCTATTTATTTTTTATGGAAGCATCATTAGGATTTTTATATAGTTCCAGATGACTCGTTCCAATGCGACAAATGCAATAAATTGTTCAAGTACAAGTCTTGGTATGCAAATCACATGGCTTCCCACGATGTAGTTGGGTTACACAATTGCAACTATTGCCCTAAGACATTCAAACTTAGAGATAATTTAATACGACATTTTCTGACACACTTTGGTGGCATAAGTCACGATTGCAAAGCATGTGGTCAACCATTTCACCTAAAACACAACCTGAAAACTCATATTAAATATAAACATGAAAAGTGTGTCAGAATCAAATGTACTGAATGCCCAATAACATTTAAGGATAAACGAAATTTGGGTTACCACATGAACATTATGCACGATTATAAATACCCCTACAAGTGCCCATGCGGGGAATGTTTTGGTGCTCCTAACCAATTGCACAGGCATAGAAGAAAATATGTATGTTATCATAAAAATCCTAAATAACTTATTGAGACAGCCAAAAAAATAACTTATTGATTTATTAACATTTTATGTTTCAGGAACATTAAACATAATTTCCTGTATGCACAAATTGACCATGACGTGACTAGTTGAAGACACTAATTTACTAATTAGTTTTAAATTATTAATTTACACTAATAATATTTATATTAAGTTCTAACGAAAAAAAAAGGATTTCACTATCTGAAAAATAATATATTTTAATTAATTATCAATTATATTTATTTAATTATGTTGTTAAAATTTAGTTCTTCAATAATTTTATTAAAAGCATATTCAACTACCGATAAAAGTAATAACAATAGTTTATTTTTAAATAATAACATAATATATGACACGAGATATATGACATGAGTTGTAAATTTATTTAATATTAGAGTCCTCTTATCAAAGCTAAAATAATTAAAATTTAATTTTTTAATTTTTATTACCTTTCGGATAATATAAATTTATAAATGTCATTAATTCTGAATTATCCGAGTAAAATTTTAATTTTGATTCTGAAAATGTATTTATTATTACTGGAGTTGTAGGAGGTCTGTATGTAATTGCTTGCTGGTTTTGTATCATTTGAAGAATTTCGGTCACGGTCAATGAAGAATCAATAGATTTTTTGGGCAATAATTGGAGCAAACTCTTTAAATTGTTTTGATAATTCTGTACCTCAGTTATGTAATTTTCTTTAATTTTGTCGTAGGAAACGTTTGGGAAATGAGTTTTAAGAATGTGATCAATGAAATTTTTAATAAAAAAGTATTTTTGTTGAATGGATTGAAATATTTTTGTCTTTGTATTCACATCCAATTGTCGTTTTTTTTTCTTCATAGTTAAAATTACTTGGTAGCTGAAACAAATATACAATGAATTTGAAGTTCTGAATTATTAGAAGTATTTGAATGAAACAAATAAACTTACATTGTAAAATATGGCTGTCCTTAGGTATGAATTGCGATCGATGTATAGAATTTTATTGATTAATTTATTTCCGTGTTTGTGAGTATTAATTGTATTTATAATTTTTATTGTATTCAGTTTGTATATTGTAGCTGTGTTATATTTTTCTGTGTATAAATATTCATCCAAGACCAAATCATTTAAAACTTTTTTTAACAAATGTTTGTCTATAAAATTATATTTTATAACACACATAATAATTCGTACATGATCATAAATGTTTGATAACTATAAAAAAAAAAATGAAATGCCATTAATAAATTTCAAACAATTATATGTAATAAATTTTAAATATTTTTTGTCATGCATACTATAAGCTTTGTCTCGATGGTCATCAAACAAGCCAAAATCAAAATATTATTTAATTGCATGTTGGTTGGTACATAAAATTCCATTACAGACATATCATCAATAATTATATTTTGCAATATGGTTGTTGATGAATGGATTCTATTTATTTTAAAATTAATATTTTACATTATTTATTTTAATTAGGTAAATGATGTTGGAATAAATGTTTACCGTTTTGGTTCATATTCCATATCAATTATGTTGTGCAGCCACCAGGAATTCAATTCATCCACAAATTGTATAAAAAATTTGTCCATTGAATAAATATTATTGGCATTGACAAATTGTAAAAAATTTACAATTTTCCTGCCGTTCTTGTCAATAATACCTAATGTCATATCCTGGAATCTACTTGTATTTTTCAAGACAATATATAATTTTATTAAATACATTTTTTGATCGGATAGACATTTTATCATTTTATTTTCTTCACATATTTGGACACTGAAAATTGAAATATTAAGATGGTATTACTCATTACTAAGTTATGGTATACTATTTTACTTACTCCTCAACATTTTGCCGTAGGTTGTTATATAGCATCGCGTTGGTTATTATTGAGTCAAGGGACTGTATGTTTTGTATAAAATTAAGGCTGTTGTTGATGTTGACATTTTTTGGACATGGAATATTTGGAAGTTTTTTAAAAAAGTGACTCGGCATTGTATATTTGTAATTATTTATTAACTGTATATTAATTTCTTTGTGTGAGTTGATTAAATAATTAGAATAATGTTGGACTGTTTTACTATTTAATATTTCAATTGTTTTTTTCGATTTGACGCTATTTTTTTTTTTCTTAATTTTTTACTAAACTTTTCGGCTACGTAATTAGTTGAAATTTTTTTTATTGCATCAGTATTTAACTCAATAATTTCGTTTTCCAGATTGTTTACTTGTATGTACTGCAAAACTTTATGAATGTCGGTATATCTCGATAGAACCTATAATTAATTATTGTATAAGTTGTCTTTTGTGTGATTTTATAATTGTATAAGTGTATTTTGTGTAATTATATTATTGTGTAAGTAAAATTGTTACATACATTACATTGAGAATTTGCAAAGAATTGTATGGTGCCCACGTTATCAATCAAAAATGCCTTAAGTTCTTCAGAATTAATATGTGCCCCATAGCTGCATATGTAATTTAATAAGCATTCACTTGTAGTTGCCCCTCCTATAGTGAACCTCTGAATTGCGGAAGCAATTATCATTACTAAATCCTTTAAAAATAAAATTGATTTTATATAAATAAATTAATAATATAATATAATTATACAGAGTGATTCTTTTAAGTGGGTACACTAATTATCTCGAAAAGTATTCATGTTTTTGAAAATATTTTTTACATAGTTTAAAATTGTTAAAAAAGCAACGTTTTTATTAAAAAATTATATTTTTAAATATTTTTTATCCTTATAATTTTTTAAGTTTTTTACTTTTTTGAATGACAACATAGATTTTTAATCTCATATTCCAAAGCAGAAAAATTATCTGAGTATTTTGATATATAAAATCGAATTTAGGACGAGTATTTTCTGAGTTATACGTATTTAAAGTTTAGACAAGCGAGTAGTGGATAAACATTTTGCGGGGTAACCCCGACCACTCCACACCGCTTGTCTAAACTTTAAATACGATAACTCATAAACTGCTTGTCCTAAATTCGATTTCAATATCAAAATACTAGATAATTTTACTGCTTCGAAATGATAAAACTCTATGTTGTCATTCAAAAGTAAAACTTAAAATAGGATAAAAATATTTAAAAATATAACAATTAAAAAACGTTTGCTTACAATTTAACTATGTAAAATATTTTCAAAGCATGAATACTTTCGAGATATGGTAATTACTCCATAAAATCGCTCTACTAATATATTATATTATTAATTTATTATATAAAATCAATACCAAAGAACTAATAATAATTGACAATACGTAAAAAGCTTA